CTCGTTGCCGGTCGGAAATGGGGGCTGAAGGGGAGAGATCGAGCGGCTGGAAGTTCCAGTCAATTCCGGCCACGTTTCTGCGTTTTCCGGCTAGTCCCGAGGGTTTCCAAGGCTGTGCTGGCCGGGGAAGAGAGAGGAAGAGATGGTGGTTCGATCGGGACCGGTCTCGTCGGACGGGCCTGTCTACGGTTTCGTCTCAGTACCACCTACGCAACCACACCACTCATGGTCCCAAAATCTTCCCGAATAAGAAATTGACCAAAATTACCCTTAACCCAAGAATAAATTAATATTTTCTCTTAATTAAATTAAAATAGGAAAATAATCGGAGTCGGGGTGTTACAGTGTACTTAGTTAATTTTATATTTTAATTAAAATATTATGGTGTACTTAGATCATAGGGTGTACTTAATTAATTTTAGGGTTCGTTTAACAACACTCAATAAAAATCCGCTAGGATTTGCAAAGATACATGATCAATCAAAATCCGCCAGATGAAGTGAAAGTGATCAATGGCTGTGATCACCTGGTAATGTTCTCCAAATTGCTGGAGTTGTTTTACTACCTCTAGATACAAGGTTGCTAACTGCTGAGAGTTGTTAAATATTCGTAAAATAAAATAAAAATGAGCACTTGGCAACCATGGTCTAAAATAACGATGATACCGGAAGTCCAAAAATATGAAAATTTCAATGGAAATATCGGGATATTATCGATATCGATAAAAATTGAATAAAAACACCGAAATTGTAAGAAAAACTTGGAAATTTTTATTGAAACTTTGTAGAATGTTTATTTAGTCAAATATTTATTAGTTTATCCAAAAATAGAAAAAAGGAAATGCATTATATGATGGATTTAATTGATTTAAGTTGATTATACAGTGAGCTGGCAAAAACTGTGAGTGTAGAAAATATGTAGTAATTAATAAATAAAAAAAGATTAAGCACACCATAATCATTTATATATAATGATTTACTACAATATTTTACACTTTATACATTGCATGGTAAGATACATGAGTGACTTAGTATCACATAGAGTTCCTATGAGGTTCAAATTTTTCACTATTTTCATCATCTCTATGTGTAGAGTATTCATCAAATGATAAATCCCCAAAATAGTTTTGCATGTAATTGTTAACATGCAACCCATATAAATATAAATATTTTAGCATATTATCACTAAAACATAAGTGATATATGGCGGTTAAGGTGTTGGAGGAGTAAAATGAGAGAAGTTCAAATCCCCCTTTGTGTTGTTTTTTCCTCCCTTTTTTCCTTTTTTTTCCTTTACATCGATATTTTCAATATTTCAGCGATATTACACCGATATTTTGACAAAATATTGCTGAAGTGTGAGTGAAATTATCGACATCGATATTTTCCGATATTATTGTCGATATTGTCGATATTTATACGATATGTACATGAATATGTTCCAAAATATCCGTGATTCGAAAAAATCGCATATTATCGATATTTCAGACTATGCTCGCAACCACATATGAGTAAATTCCTTTTTTTTTTTTTTTAGGGAATAAATTTATCAATTTACATAGATTGATTGAGTTTGATTGCACTGAGCTATGATATGGTTGATCTCAATTGATGTAATCATTTTAAGTGAAGACTTTAGACTAACCTTAATTCTTTAAACTTGTTTGAATATTACATATAAAATTACAAATTTGTCAACAACAAAAAAAAACCAAAAAATAATTAACTAAGTACAACCGAACATCCACCAAATCTAATATTCAATTAAGTTAAAAGCTCATAAAAGTCATTGACTTCCGTAGAATTTATTAGATGATGGAGTTTTGTGGATTTGAGAGGACTTTTGAGTGTAAACCAAAGTCATGATTTCTCTGGCGCTGGCCTCTCCTCCGTATTTGGAAGGATTTTATACAAAGGTTTAAAATATATTATTTATGGTTATGAATAAAGAAAATATAGCGGCTAGCCTCTCAATGACATTTTGAAAGGCCATGGCCGCAACTACTAGAAAGAAATAATTTTCCAAGATATGTATGTTGTGTACGAAACAAATTCTCTACAAAAAGTCCAGGCAATGAGCACTTTGAATAATTTTTTTATTATTATTATGCAGATTGGAAATTTATAGAGAAAGGTACGAAAAGATTTTGCAGATTTGGCATAATGTTTACTCCTTGACCAAAAATGTCCAGGCAAAGACCTTGCTTGCAATAACGTGGAAGTTTATTAATTAGTTTAATAGTCGTTTTCAAATGCGGAATTGCTTGCATAATGTCTACTCCTTGACCAAAAATGTAGATAGAAATAAAGACTTCGCTTGCAACGTGCAAGGAGATGTTAGCTGATTAGTCTATACCCCAATTCTTCAAATGCCGAATTGGGTGAAGGATATTTCCTATAAATACAAACCCAGGGAAGGAGATGTTAATGAGATTGAAAATGGAGCACATGAAAAACAAGTCTTTTCTCTTTTGTCTCTTACTTATTTGCTTGGCAAAAATTTGTACCTCATCGCCATCTAATTACCCGCAAAACCAAACCCAAACTAGCCCAAGTGGGAAGAAGCATTTTGTGTTGATTCATGGAGCTGGTGTTGGAGCATGGTCTTGGTATAAGGTGGCAACTTTACTCAATGATTCAGGCCACAATGTCACAGCCCTAGACTTGGGAGCATCTGGGATCAACCCAATTCAGATACAACAACTTCGTTCGATCTCGCAATATGTCGAGCCATTGACGAAGCTCATGGTCTCTCTTCCACCAAAGGAGAGGATCATCCTCGTAGGTCACAGCATGGGTGGGGCAGTCATATCTACTTTCATGGAGAGATTTCCTGAGAAAATTGCTGCTGCAGTATACGTCACGGCTTTCATGACTGGTCCTACTCTCAATTACTCGACTATATTGACAGAGGTAATGAGTTCACAAGCACACACCAAAGTTGCAGCACCAAAATCCATTGTGTATATTTATTAACAAATTATATTTTCGAAAAATGTACAGGTTAATAAAAGATTGGACTATTTGGACACTCAATATAGATACGATAATGGGACCAACAACCGTCCAACATCCTTTCTTATTGGGCCTAAGGCCTTGGCGTTGAAGTTTTGCCAGCTCTCCCCAGCACAGGTGAGTTGTCTAAAAAATAATTCAAAATTTATACTTTTTTTTTAAAATACAAGCGATAGTCCAACCTACAAGGAGAATGTGGTTTATTAAACACAATACTAAGGTATCATGGGGATTCGAACCTGAGATCACGTTGCTGCTATTTTTTTTTTTTAAATTTTGTTGAGAAATTCTATAATTGCATTCATAATTCAGCCAAAAAAGCCACTAGTCACAAAATACCAATATAAAAACTAGGCACAAAATGGCCATTGTAATAACAGAGTGGTCTAACATCAAAATTAAGATAATCTAGTGCACCTCCGCTAACTATTATGCAAGATTGAAGAAACTCTGGCATAGGCATCCCAACTAAGATTGCAAATTTAGAATAATCAAAAAAAGATAAAGCTTGAAAAAACTAATCCATAACAATACAAATAAAACTCTCACAAAAGAGGAGAGGTGAAAACTATATAGAGAATCCAAAGAGTCTCTGTAATTTATTCAAAACATAAAGAAATCGCAAAAAGGATGGTGATGAAGATCGGATGTCGAGACGCAGCAGCCTGTGATGGTTGGATGAAAATCATAACAAAATGACCACAAATAGGGAAAACCATTTGTCTTTGAAAATGGGGGAAGAGGTGAAGGGTGGAAGAGGAAAGGAGGAGGGGGGAGGATGGAGAGTGGAGGATGAATATTGGCTTCCTCCTCCCTCAAAGTGAAAACGACTCTAGGAGTGTTTTTTGGGAAAAATGGGCCTAAGCAGGCCAGGGGCAGGTTTCTTTCCACGTTGCTGCTGCTTTAATTTCTTTTTCCCTTTATTTTTTTCTCTTGTTGTTTTTGACATTTTGTTTGGTGACATATTAATGGACAGGATAAAACGCTAGTGTCCTCCTTGATAAGATTTTCTCCTCTCTTCAATTATGATGTAATAAAGCTCACCAAGGAGAAATATGGATCGGTTCGTAGAGTATTCATTGTGTCTGGGCAAGACCAGGCAATAGTGTTGGATGTGCAGAATTACATTATCAGGAACAATCCACCAGATGAAGTGAAAGTGATTAGCGATTCTGATCACGTGGTCATGATCTCTAGACCATTGAATCTCTTCTACCACCTCCAAAACATTGCTGAGAAATATTCTTAGAAATTATTTAGGACATGTTACTACTATTATGTGTCAATAGACACCGTCATTAAAAATTGTATTACAAATAAACATTTGCCATCACTTTTTTCTAGCGTCAACTTTGACGCTGAGCAACTTGATGTCAAATTTATCATGAATTTACATAGTTTGGTTGAAGTTACAAATTGCAATAAAAAAAGAAGGATGGAAGGTCCACCATGGATTTAACTTCTCGATTGAAGATCCTTTTTAACTGTAGTTGCATCATGTCTTGTTAACGTGACATAAAGTACTACATGTAAATCTTGTTTCCAATCTTTCACATATGCTTATTGATGGTTGGTGATTATAATTTGGTTTTTATGCGTATGAGAGGTGACTTGGTGAAATTGGGAATTATTTGAGGAATTACGTGTAACATTCTGTCCTAAAATGTCGTTTCATTTAATTTATGTTTTCTAAAATTATAATTTTGCCTATGGACATAGGGGGATTTAGAGCACTTTTTGTTTGGAAATAGTTTTGGGAACTCCCACGCAAATTATTCCCTCATCTTCCCAAAGAATTCTCTCCCAACTAATCACAGTATTCCAAACCCGTCAGATCTTTTCATACGTCTTAAACTTTATTCTTCATGGCTCCAATCGAAATATTTGCTTCTTCAATGTTGTTCATCTGGTTGTCTACTAGAACATATCCGAAAAATAGCCCAATCAAAGAAATAGAAACACCTAAAAATGTGATTGCCCATGAGTCTTTACTTATTGATATAGATAGAAATGTGAACTGTAAAGTTAAGATGGGTACTGGTGATTTAGTACAATCAATAGGCAAAGGTACTTTGGCTATATATGTGCCAGGTGTTACTAGGTACATTAAAGAAGTTATGATTGTACCTGGTTTGGATGAGAATCTGTTGAGTGTAGGACAGATGATAGAACATGGGCATTGGTTGGCGTTTGGAATAATGAGGTTGACATTTATGAAGATAAGCAGATGAAAGAGCTGATTGCAAGAGTTCAAATGAAAGGGAGCAGATGTTTTCCCTTAGACCTCAAATATGTCAATCCCCCCATGGCAAATAGAGCAACTTTGGAAGAATCATTCTGGTTGTGGCACAGAAGATATGGACACCTAAACTACACTAGCTTAATGCTACTACAAGAGAAATACATGGTGTAGGGCTTACCTAAACTACAAGAATCTGAGAAAGTTTGTGCTAGTTGTGCTATAGGCAAAAGTCACAGGAGCTCATTTGATAAAGAAAAGACATGGAGAGCTACTCAACCACTTGAATTGATTCACTCAGATATTTGTGGTCCAATGCAGGCTACTACTCTTAGAGGGAACATATATTTTCTCACCTTTATTGATGATCACACGAGAATGTGTTGGGTGTTTTTCTTACAGCACAAGTCTCAAGCATTCAACATTTTCAAAAGGTTCAAAAGCATGGATGAGTTGCAGAGTGGTTATCAAATTAAAAAGCTAAGAAGTGATAGGGGTGGAGAATATACCTCACTGAAATTTTCAAAGTTTTGTGAAAAGTTGGATTTAGAAAGATAATTGACTGTAGCTTACTCTCTACAACAGAATGGTGTTGCAGAGAGAAAGAATTGTACAGTGGTAGAGATGGCAAGAACCATGATGCATGAGAAGAAGATTCCTTTGAAGTTTTGGGCAGAAGCTGTGAACACAGCTATGTATCTACAGAATTGAAGCCCAACAAGTGCTTTGGACAACACAACACCATTCGAGAAGTTGAGTGGGAGAAAACCAAGTGTCAAACACTTGAGAATATTTGGCTCATTGTGCTACATTCATATTCCTTCTCAGAAAAGACACAAGCTAGAGGAAACTGGAATTAAGAGAGTATTTCTTGGATATGGGATTTGCGAAAACGGGTATAGAGTTTTTAACTTAGAAACTAAAAAGATTGAACTCTTTAGGAGTGTTATCTTTGATGAGAAAGCAATGTGGAATTGGGAGTTGAATGAAGCAGTACATGTAACTATTCCATAGAATGATGAAGAAAGTCTGAGAATATCAAAAATTGGCTCATGTTCTAATGAATCACTTCAGTCTGTTCAATCTCCACAGAGATCACAAGTGGTTAATGACTTGCAAACCACTATGGAGTCAGCTACACATGATTCATCAGTTTCAATCTCTGAAACTTTTGATCATACTCCACAAAAATGGAAGAACTTAAGTGAGGTCTATGCTTAATGCAAAATGAGCATTATTGAACCTAAAAGTTACAATGAAGCAGCCAAAGATGCAGCTTGGAACAAGGCTATGACTGAAGAGATATCAATGATAGAGAAGAATTCCACTTGGGAATTGGTTGACATACCAAGCAGCAAACCAATTATGGGAGTGAAGTGGATATTCAAAACTAAGCTCAATCTTGATGGCTCCATTCAAAAACACAAAGCAAGGCTTGTTGCCAAGGGTTACACACCAAAAACCAGGGATTGATTTCAATGAAACCTTTGCTCCAGTAGCAAGGTTAGACACTATTAGAACTCTCATTACACTAGTTGCACAGAAAGGCTGAAAACTGTTGCAATTGGATGTGAAATCAGCCTTCTTAAATGGTGTCCTTGAAGAGGAAGTCTATGTGGATCAACCTGAAGCTTTTGTGATTAAAGGAGCTGAGGATAAGGTTTATAGATTAAGAAAAGCTCTCTATGGACTAAATCAGGCTCCAAGGGCCTGGTATAGTGAAATCGACACTTACTTATATCAGTGTGGCTTTCAGAGAAGTCCAAGTGAAGCAACTCTCTATGTGAGAACCAAGGAAGGTGTGGGAACATTAATTGTGTCAATTTATGTAGATGACATAGTGTATATTGGAAGTAGTGATGAAATGGTAAAAGAATTCAAGGCTGAGATGATGTGCAAGTATGAAATGTCTGACTTGGGTTTACTCCACCATTTTCTTGGTATGGGAGTAACACAAACTGAAGGGAGCACCTTCATTCATCAAAAGAAGTATTCTCTCACTCTCTTGGATAAGTTTGGACTCAAAGACTGCAAGTTAGTGAGCACTCCGTTAGTTGCCACTGATAAATTACAAAGAGAGGATGGAAGTGGAGCAGCATATGAAAGTTTGTACAAAAAAATTGTAGGAAGCTTGCTATATCTAATTGCAACTAGACCAGATATCATGTTTTCAGCTAGTCTGCTTGCAAGATTCATGCACAATCCTTCTAAGATGCACTATGGGGCAGCCAAAAGAGTTCTACGGTACATACAAGGCACAATTAATTATGGAATTGAGTATGTGACTAGAAAATCTGCACTCTTAATAGGATATTGTGACAGTGACTGGAGTGGATATGAGGAAGATATGAAAAGAACTTCTGGATATGCAGTTTCATTTGGAAGTGGTGCATTTTTGTGGGCATCAGTCAAATAACATAGTGTGGCCCTTTCAACAGCAGAAGCATAGTATGTGAGTGCAGCAGAAGCTGCATCACAAGCCATTTGGCTCCGATTTGTTCTTGAAGATTTTGGGGAAGAACAGACTACTGCAACAGCTGTGTTTTGTGACAACACTTCAGCCATAGCAATGGCTAAAAATCCAGTATTTCATCAAAGGAGCAAGCACATTAAAAGGAAGTTCCATTTTATTAGAGATGCAATCCAAGAAGGAGTGATTGAACTGCTCTACTGCAAAGGAGAAGAGCAAATTGCTGACATTTTCACCAAGGCACTTCCCAAAAACAGGTTCAGCTATTTGAGGAGTATGCTTGGAGTGAAATTAGCTAGCACTTTAGAAGGGAGTGTTAAAATGTAAACTGCCTAGCTAATTTCTGATTAGTTAGTAATCACTTAGTCAGTTTATATTTAGTCTATTTAAGTGGTTTGTTAGCTAAGCATCTTGAGCTCATATGCAAAGTGTAAGGCTTAGGATAGTCTCTCCTTTTCCAGTGGTTCTAAAGCTTTGTAATGCCATGTGTCATATTCACATTGGCTGAACCTTCACAACCGTTAGATTGAAATTGCTGATGTAAGAACACATTTTGGTTATGAATGAATATCCTCTGCTGCAACGGTTTTGCAGAGGTGTAGTTGTCATTACCATCTTTCTTCTTGCTCAAGCTCTCTCGCTCAATTTTTGGTTCTTGAGCTCCCTTGACAATCCAAATCTCAACACTTTATAGGAATCTCCAATTAATCTGTTTACTAAATTTTGCATATGCACATAAATATTTCGTTAGAAAAATGTGGTTCAAAATAAGCTCACATAGGAATATTAACATTCGGTGAACAAATTTGGGGACCGTTTAGTAGTACTGGATAAAATATATTCAACAATTGATATTTCTTTTATTGCATAAGATAATAGTTTCTCCCTTTTGATAAAATATATTCTTAATAATTTTAAAAAAAAACACTGGACAAGCACCATGTACTTGCCAGTAGGGCTTCTCCCTTTTGATAAAATATTATCAAGGAAAATCCTCCGCATGAAGAGAAAGTGAAAATGGTTCTGAATATGCTCATGTTCTCCAAAACGATGGAGCTCTTCTCCCACCTCCACAAGGTTATTGAGAAATACGCTCATTATGGTGCTGTTGAAATGTAAATTGACTAGCTAATTTCTTGTTAGTTAGTAATTTACTTAGTCTGTTTACTCTTAGCTTCATTAAGCATTATGTTAGTTAAGTGACTTGAGTCCTTTATCAAATCTATATTGAGAGTGCATAAATTCCGATCTACTACTAACCTGTTACATATTATAATTCGTAAATCCATATATTTTCAAGGATACGTATATAGAAAAAATAATCAACAAAGTTTCTCCCTATTTTGTATCCGAGTTCGAATCTCCCTCTCCGTAATAGAATATCTCCCCACTTTGCACCGAGTTCGAATCTCCCTCCCAATAATTTAGATTAAATTACAATAGAATAACGTTTTATACATAACTATAACTCTTCAAATATGGTCAAGTAACTGATAGTAGGGCCAGGCATCAACGCGGTGGCAAATACAGCCGCATAAATTTTCCCAGGGAACCGCTCCATGGCAACAGATATGCCGGCCCCGCCCATGCTATGGCCCACCAAGATAACCCTCTCATCTGGTGGAAGAGACTCTATGAATTCAATCAACGGTTCAACATAGTCCGCGAAGCAATGGACTTGATTTATCTGTTTTGGGTTGTCTCCAGATGCTGTTAGGTCTGCAGCTGTAACATTGTAACCTGCAGAGGT